CTCATTATCATTGTTGATTTATGATTCATATACCGTAAATTCACCCTTTTTAAGAATTGAGGTTTTTTTTAGTATACTCACAAAGTTGTACAATTATTACACTAATTCTGAGAACATCATTAAACTCACATTTTGTGGCCTTGTATGACTTTGTATGACAAGAAGGCACTTCTAGAGGTGTGATTGCTAAGCTTTAGAGAAACGATTCTTTCCAATGGGAAATAAGATGGGGCTTGTCGATCACCCACAAGCAAAACCCCTGGGCCAGCAGGGGCATCCAACCCGAGGTCCATGGGCTGCATACAGTCCAGGATGGCTATAAATGCAGCCCCACAAAAAAAATCATGAATTTACTTAAGAAAAAATTTTTTTTTTGCTCATCAGTTTTTGTTAGTGTTTATGTATTTATGTGTGGTCCAAGACAACTCTTCTTCCAGTATGGCCAGAGATGCTGAAAGTTTGGACACCCCTGCCCTAAAGGCTTGGAGTCACCACATTACTCATGCCACACTGTACACATGCCATGGCAATCACTACCCAGTCCCTTAGAGAAAGTGAGGTCCATCTGGATTACCATCTAGCGGTAAGCAGGACAGACCGCTAGATGTTCCAGTTAGTACGTGCTAATGATGGGAACTGCGCCAATAACGTGTGCACTGTAATGTTTTAATTCACAGACCGTGCTGTTGTATGATCCTTTAAAAAACAGGAAATGTCATTTTTCTGCTTCAAATTCCTCTCTCTCTCTCTCTCTCACACACACACACACACACACACACACACAAAGTACAGCCAAAATAAATAAACTCTGCAATGGCCAGCATCTCACCCATAGTAGAAGCCAAAGTCCTTACAAAGGCCAGCAAGGCCCTCCCTGATCTGGTCCCTGTTCACTTCTCCAAACTCATCTCCTACCTTTCTCCCTCTCTCACTCTGCTCCAGCCACACTGGCCTCCTGGCTGGCACTCCAGCTCACCCAGAACATTCCCACTTCAGGGACTTCACAGTGCTACTCCCTCTGCCAAAAGCATTTCTCTTCCAGACAACTAAATGGCTCCTTTCCTCACTTCACTCCCATCTCTGCTCCCTTGGCACCCCTAAGAGAAATCTGGTTTAATACTCCTACATAAGATAGCACCCTAGAACTTTCTAGCCCATACCCTTCTTTTTCTCCAATCAATGTATATTTATTCACTTTCTGTCTGAATTTTAATCCTGAGAGAAGAAACTCTCTAGAATTTTAATTTCCTAGAGAAAAATACCTTTGTCCTTTTTGTTCACTGCCATGTTGTTAAAATAGAGTCTGGTACACCATGGGTGATCAATAATATTTGTTGACGGAATAAACAAATAAATAGCTTTCACTAAGGCACAAAACAAAGGTTATAAGAAATCCAAAGGGTGGGGGGAGGGGGAATGGACAAAGGACCTGAACAGACAATTCACAGAAAACAAAAACACAAATGATTTGTTAATGTCAGGCAAGATATTTGGCTTCATTCATAATAATAAAAGAAGTGCAAGTTAAAACTTCTATGAGTAAGTATCTTTCATCCACTGGATTGGCAAAGATCAAAAAGCTTGGCACTTCTCCCTGTTAGCAAGGGTCCTCTCAGACTTTGTTGCTGAGAGTGAAAATGGTGAAAGGTTTGTGTAAGACAATTTAGCAGCATCTAAATTTTAAAAGTATACTCTAGCTCAGCAATTCCATGTGTATAAATTTATCCTGCAGACTTATTTGCTCAAGTATATAAAGATGTGGGTATTCACTGCAGCACTTCTTGTTCTAGTAAGGGACTTGAAAGGATGTAAATATCCACTGATGGAGATTGGTTTTAAATATATTATAACTTTACAATGGAATATAATGCAGAGGCTAAGAAGGAAGTAGATCTCTATCACTAAAAAGATATAACCCACAAGAGAGTTACATTAAAAAGTATATACAACTGTGTGTACCATATGTAAACATTTGTTTAAAAAAAGATAAAAGGAATTACTCTGGAAAAATAAACAAGAAATCAATATGGTGTCTTTGGAAGGGCAGAATATAGTAGGGGAGGAGTGATCAAAGGAAAGGAGTAGAGTTTTTACCTTTTTTTCCTTTTACAAGATAGAAATTTTTGTTAAAAAGATTTTATTTTTAGAGAAAGGGAGGGAGAAAAAGAGGGAGAGAAACATCAGTGTGTGGTTGCCTCTTGCGCACCCCTTACTGGGGACCTAGCCTGCAACCCAGGCATTTGCCCTGCCTGGGAATCAAACCAGTGACCCTTTGGTTTGCAGGCTGACACTCAATCCACTGAGCCACACCAGCCAGGGCACAAGTTAGAAACTTTTTTTTAAAATATTTTATTTATTTATTTTTAGAGAGAAGGGAAAGGAGGGAGAAAGAGAGGAAGAGAAACAGCAACCTGTTGCCTGTCTCACACCTCTAACTGTGGACGTGGACTGAAACCCAGGCATGTGACCTGTCTGGGAATTGAATCTCGACCTTTCGGTCTGCTGGTTTCTATATAGTTTTGGTCTAGCTACAGCTAGAAACTTTAATGCCAATTACATTAGCTGCTGTTTTTAATTTTTCAAAACAGATAATACATGCACATGAGAGAAAAACCCAGAGATACAAAAGGATAAACTGTAAAAAGTCTCCACTAAAAAACAAAACAAAACAGGAAACCCCACTATGATGGGGTATGTCAAAGGGACACAGGAGCTAACCAAATACTGGAGAGTAATAAAGTAGTACTAGAGCGTAACCTAAAGGATAAAATAAATGCCCACGAAACTGACGTAAGTGACTGACTGAATAAATAAATAACAAATTGCCTGCGCAAAAAATTTCAAAATAATTTATGTAGATCCTCTGCTCTCAAGAAGGTGAAGCATAATTTCCCAACTACTATAGTATGGGTTATACATAGTGGCTGCCTCCTAAAGAGTAAAACATGAGCCCTGGCTGGCATAGCTCAGTGGCTTGAGCACGGGCTGCGAACCAAGGTGTCGCAGGTTCAATTCCCAGTTAGGGTACATGCCTGGGTTGCAGGCCATGACCCCCAGCAACTGCACATTGATGTTTCTCTCTCTCGCTCTTTCTCCCTCCCTTCCCTCTCTCTAAAAAATAAATAAAATCTTTTTTTTAAAAAAGAGCAAAACATGGAACTAATGGGGAAGAGTAATTTTGCAACAGAATCTGACAAGCACTGCCTCAGCCAGGTGATTAAGGTCAACATCAACAGAAATGAGTACTGACACAAGCTACAACATGGATGAACCCTGAAATCATCAAGCTAAGAGAAAGAAGCCAGTTAGAAAGATTGGGTGAACTCTATGGTATATGAATAAATTATATCTCGATAAAGTTGTTTTTAAACAAACATTTGACAAACCATGGCACAGAAAGAAACATACTGCTCAAGAATACATAGCTACTCTGCTGAGCTCATTCAGAATAAAGAAATGCATTTCCAAATAGCAGCCTCTCAATGGTGAATGATTTGGGTTTGGTTTGGTTTTCCCCAATGTTGAAAGTCATTTCCAGACTTCTCTTTGACCTCTGCCTGAGGAGCTGCCTGCATTAGGATCAGAACATGTGGAGATGAACCAATGGAGCACAGTGGCTATGATGACAGGCCCTTAGAAGGCAACCCTTAGGATTCTTTCCCTTTTTCTCTTTTTCTTCTCACAGTATGTTTCTTGCTCTTCACAGTAGCTTGTAAGCTCCAGGAAATTTTGTTTACCCCCAGCCACTAGTTCAGTTCCCAGCATGACAGATGAAGTGGTTGAAAGAATAAAGGGCAGTTCACAGTGAACTAAGCGAGGTAACAGGAAGGCTTCTCTGACTTGGCTACTTAGGTACTGGTAACACAGAGATGGAAGTGGGGTCAGGTGAGCACAGTATTAGGCCTAGAGGATATCTGAGTTATGTTGAAGAAATCTAGGAGACGGTAGATATACCTATCTAGAAAATATCTGTGAGTGCTTACAGAGAACAGGAAACTACCATGAATAGTGGCAATGGCCCATTCCTCAACAGCAGAGTGGGACACTGGCACTCAGGAGAGATTATGTCCCATCCCTACAGTCATAGGGAAAGCAGGTAGTGTTAACTGGTTTTTTTTTTTTTAATTTTCCTAAGTTGAAAACAAGGACTGCCATGTGAAATTATGTTTGCAAGCCATGTTACTCTTGGTCACCTGTTTCTGATTTCTGTTGGGATAATCTAGGCCTGAGTTTTCCCTAGAAGTCTTGGGTATGTGTAGTGGCAACAGAAAATGTTGCATGTATCTTTCTTAAGGTGATGGGTACACTTGGAACAAGTCAATCCTGGCTGGTTTGAATGGGAGCCACCATCTCTAGCTCATTTTAAGTAGTCATTTGTTTAATGATTACATCAGAGAATAATGTTAAGTGTAAAAAGGTAGTTGCAAAATAGTACATTTCACAGGATACCATTTTTCTACATTTTAGGCAATAGAACTGAAGAATGTATCTCTGACAATTAACTGTTTTCTTTGAGGGGTGGGATTATAAAGGGACTTTCCTGTTGTACTACTGCGATTGAAGTGTTTTATAATAATCATGTATAAAAGAAAAACCAACAGATTTTTAAAACACAGATCTTCTCTAACATAACCATGCATGTACATGTATGTGCAGGTAAATACATAGCCGAAGGGCCTAAAAAACACATACCAAATGGTTAACAGTGACTGCTTCTGGGGACGAATGTTGGCAGATGAATGGGTAACTTGGTTTTATCTTTCTGTAATTTGAATCTTATATGTGTACTCCTGGGTTGTACGAAAATGTGAAAAACTCCAGTACCCAACACTCTAGTCCATCTATCTGGAAGTAGTAAAACATCTCCCCAGGTTGTGCGGGGCAGGGGCACCTTTGTCAGGACATGGGCAGTGTTGCCTTTATCCCTCCCTGACCCCAGGACCCAGCCCCAATCCCCAAGCCCAGGTGACTCACACACACTGAAAGAGGAGCCAAGGGGCCTCATTGTAACACTCATTTTTATATAAATATCCGCAAGTCATGTTACAGAATAAGCCCCACCTGGGAAAAAAGTCAACATTATTTTGTTAACCTGACCCCTGCCTTCTAGGCTGGGACCCAGCCTGGAGGCACCTGCTGCTGTGGGAAGGCTAGGGCTGCTGCCGAGGCTGCTGAAGAAGCTGCCTGTGTGGCCCACCCCCAAGCTGACCCCCTTCTTTGGTGTGTGGTACATGGTGACCTTCTCTGGCCCTCCTTCTAGTCTGGGGCAGGGTGCTGGGAATAGGGCTCTAGAGAGCAGGGCCCAGGAATCCTGGGGGCACTTGGAAATGGAGTGAGGAGACTGAGCCACTAACAAAGAAGTAGACTCTGAAGTTTAAAGGTTGAGCCTTTTGGGGATGGGGGCACTCAGAGGTAATAGGAAGAAGTAGGGGGAACCTGGGCTGTCAGCCAAGCAGGAAGCATTTGCCCTTCTTTCCAGCATAGGCACCCAGGTCCCTTCTCCTGTTGGTCCACTTCCTGCTGGACCTCATATTCTGAGGGATAAGCCTTGGGCCTGCCTGTCCCCTTCCAGCTCTTCCCCCTGCAATCTCACCCCCCCTCCCCCACAGAGAAGCCAGAGGCCAGAAACACAGCACCAGTCTGAGGATTTAATTAATCAGGAAGGGGGGATTACTGGGAGGGGCACCCCTGTAAAAATGTACAAAAGTCTGGGGGCTATGTGAAAGGGGAGATAAATATGTACATGGAACCCCCCTTCCTGTAGCCCCTCCTTCCCCAGCCCTGAGAGGGCATGAGGACTTGGGTGGTAGGTGAAGGGGAGGGGGGGCACTTTGGCCTCTGGCTTAGTGAGCCCTTGGGGAGGCAGGCCAAGGGCCTAGGGGCCCTCAGAGGGGGCAATGGTGCACCTCAGGAGATCATGAGCTATGACCTCTGAAATGACCCCCATTCTAATGTATGTGTATACACACACACACACACACACACACACACACACTCCTCTCTAGAGGTTTGTGACCTCTGCCCTCCCGATGACCCCAAGGTTCATCAGATGCTTGATCTTATGGGGGCTGGGGCTCTGCTCTCAGGTTCCATGAACTCAGAGGTGGCTGGTGAGGTCATGACCTTTGCCCTCCAGCCCTGGCTTAAAACCTCAGCTCTAGGACCTTATCAAAAGGAAAGGGGGATGGAGCTTTGCCCCTGCCCCTCCCCTTCCCTCACCTGTCAGCCCTGGCTGGGCCAGGGGCCCTAGGTGGGGAACTAGGCCGAGGGGCGGGCACAAGTGGAGGTGGTGCCCCCAAAAGGGCTCCTGGTGGGGTCTTGCTGAGCAGGTGAGGGGTTCCTGGGGCTGCAGTAGGTGGTGGTGGAGGAGCCAAACGGCTGTATAGCAGAGAATGGGCAGGCTCTAGACCATAGAGGCGGGCAGCAGCCACTGCTCCCGGTCCAGTCAGCTCCTCACCCGCCTCATAGAAGCGGGGTGGCCTTGCAAGGCGAGGGGGCCCTGCCAACCAGGTTGGTTCCAGGAAGCCAGCACAGCGCTCAGGAGGACCTGGGCCAAGAAAGGGGGATGGCCGGGGCCTCTCAAACAGCAGGTGAAGGCCCTGAGGCCCAGTGGCGGCAGCGGCGGCGGCAGCAGCGGCAGCAGCGGCGGCTGCAGCGGCAGCAGCAGCAGCAGCAGCCTCCTCTTTCCGTTCTTCCTTTACCCGCACAGATTCCTTGGCTGGCCTGGCCCCTTCCTCACCAGCCCGGGTCTTGGGAGTAGCAGGAGATACTCGGGGCTGGGGCCGTGAGAAGGGGAGGTCCCTGGGGGGCAGGTATGGAGGGAGAGAATAAAGGTACTCCAGAGGTCAGATACAGGCTGAGGGGGAGGGAGAGAGTAAGGAGCTGGGAGGGCAGTTTTTGGGAAGCATACCTGTCTTTCTCCTCCTTGGTGAGAGAAGACTCCCTCCGCTCCACAGGCCGCTCCTTGTCTGAGCCTGGAGTCCGAGCAGCCTCAGGGGGCCGGACCCAAGCAGGAAAGGCCAGAGGACTGCGGTGCAGGCGACCCCATGGATCTGGCGGGGAGGCGAAGGCTGGTGGTGCCCCTGGGCTTTCTTTCTGGGCAAAGACGGCGCCGGAGTCTAGACAGAGAGCAAAGTAGAGATTGACAGGAGCCAAGAATGGGAGGCCCCGCTTAGGCACCCTCTCAGCCTCCTGCTTTAACACATTAACTCACTGCCACTGCCCCTCACCACCCTATCCCAGCTAGCACTCACTGAATGTGGGGCTGCCCAGGCCTCCAAAGGCCCCATTGGAGAGAGCAGCCAAGGAGGCGAAGCTTGTGGGACGCCCAAAGGGATCTGTGGGAGAAAAGGGGATGGTTAGAGCACTGGGCAGCCCGCTCTCAGCAGCTACCAAGAACTAATGGAAAAGGCTGGTCAGCAAGCAGGCCCAGAAGACCTCAGCAGCTTTGTCTTAACAGCTAGGTACCAAGCACTTCCTCTTGGCCCAGGCGAGGCACTGAGTTCTGACATGCATGAATTGTTTAACTGCACAAACCTCATTAGGCAGACAGGATCATTCTTACTTAATGAAAATGAAAAAGGTTCAGAGAAGTGAAGTGACTTGCCAACAGTCAACTAACCAGTGAGTGGTACCTCCAACCTACAGCCTCTCTCACTCCAGAGGTCAAACTCTTAACCCACTGTCCCCCACACCAACCACCCAGAGCAGTTCTATAGTCTATAGCAAGCCAGTTGCTTGGAGACCTCTGCTGGCTTCCTCCCACTTGACATGCAGGGCCCTTCCCAGATTGACCCTACTTGCATGCATGCGTCACACAGCTGGTTGGAACAGCTAACCTAGCCCACTGTGGGACCTCACAATTTCCTCTTCCAGGAACACCTTTCCCTATGCCATCGGGCTCAGATCCTCCTTGTCTACCCAAACCCAGGTTAGATCTCCCCCAGTAGCAGGCCTGAGAAGGCTAGGAGCCAGGGACCACACTCTCTTCTGGGGCTGTGCAGCCTTCTTCCACCTTCCTCTTACCACCACTATTTTCAGAGAAATATCTGAGCTGGCAGAGATTAACAACCACTCTGCCCTTTCCTACCCATTTTACAGATGATGAATCAAGGCTCAGAGGGAGTACAGTAACTTGCCCAAGGTCACAAAGCAAGTGGAACCAGGTCCACTCTTGATTTCAGCTGCCTTTCAGGTTTAACTTCCATCCCCAGCTTGGGAACTCCTGGAAGTCAGAGACAAAGCCTGAATGTCCCACATGCCCTTGGCTCTTACCAATGTGGGTGCTGGGGCTCAGAAAGGGTCCGTGGGCCCCGGGAGCTGCCGTAAAAGGGTTGGCTGCAGCGTGGACGGCACCTGGGGCAGAGAGGTGGGAGATTCTAATGAGGCTAAGTGGGCACAAAGTGGGCGTCAGGTTAGAGATGGGGAACTTCAGCCCCCAAAAAGTCTGGCCGGACTCACCAGTCGCAGTGAAGAGGGAGGCGGCTGGGTGGGAGAGCTCCTGGCCAGTGGGCAGGGCCCCATAGGGCCCTGGAAGGCAGGGCAGGAGGTCGTTCCGAAAGTCAAGCTTGTGGGAGTCACCCTGCATGGGACAGGGAGAGGGGCAGTGAGTGAGGAGCCAGGTTTGGTCCTGCTCTTGCCCTTCCACCCCTGAACCCCGTCCCAAGGGCTGGCTAGTGGCAGAAAGGGGACTGGGGGCCTTCTCTGACCACCTTCCTAGTTAGCCAGAGAACCTAGTGCTAATTGCAGAATTGCTCAGACAGTGACTGGGGACAGGATGGGATGTTTCTGGCCAAGATGCTGCCAAGCTCTACTGAAGGTAGATGCCCAGAGTTCAGGCAGGCCCACTCTCCCCAGCCCTCCAGCCCCAGTACCTTCATCTTTTCCTGGTGTCTCAGGATCATGTAAGCCACACGCACGTGCATGGCACACCACTTCCCTGGTTTCTGCCGCCCCAAAAAGATGACCAAAGGAAAAGGGAAGGAAAGAATGTTCACTCATCACCCACTCCAGGCCTGGCCCTGGGCTCAGACTTGCTACAAATAATCTCCTTTTATCATCCCTACAACTGAGGAATGACTAGGTCCATTTCAAAGCCTAGGAAACTGAGGCTCAGAGAGATAAACTGTCTTGCCCAAGGTCCCATAGCCAGTTACATCTGAACCCAGGTCTCTGGCTTACGGTCCTTTCGCTTTCTGCTGTTCCACATCTGGCTGCCTCCATGTCTGGACTTTTCACTTATTCTCAAGCAGGAACCCCCACCCTCCACCCCTCAGCCAAACACCTTGACACCAGCCCCCAGCCTCATGCAACCTGAGGTCCTCACCAAACTCACCCTTAAAGGTGGCCGGAAATGATCAGGGATCTGGGGATGGCAAAGCAGAGATTGGTGGCGATTCAGACCTGTTTACTGACCTGGACACCTTATTGTCTCAGCCCCCACATCCCCCCAAACATCTCCCTGAACCCTGCGTGGCTCCCTCAATCCTTTCCTGCTTGTGATGAGACTCCTTCCCCCACCTCTCTCACTCTGGGCTTCATCCCTTCAGCACCAAGTTCTTGAACCAGTTCTAGGAAGATCCTTTACTTGGAAAGCTAGGGAGCAGGTTGGTGGGCAGGCAGGACACATTCCTCAACAGAAGATACCCTATGAACAGCTTTACATAATGAGATTCTGTTTAAGATTTCTTCAGAGAAAAGCAATTACTACTGCTAAAAGAGATTGGAAAACCTCTAGTTTATCCTTTAGGAAATATATCCTGTGTTTTTCCACACTGTGCCCAGAGCCCTGGCCTCTGAGTGGGAGGGAAGGCTAGGGCTCCTTGTGCCCCTTTCACAAAGGGAGAGCTTATCTTTTCACTGTTTTATGGACAGGACTTCCTGGTATGATGTCATTTGAAAAAAAAAAAAGCTTTGTCGCTTAAATTTGAAAACCCCTACAAAAACCACTGCCCTGGTAATCTTATTTCTTGGGCAACTTCACAAGATTCCTATTCCTCATGCCTGGGAAATCATATCATTGACATAAGGGACACCCTCAATCACATATTAAAGGAAGGAATCAGTAATTCACTCTCAAGTCAATGCTCCTGTTTAACTGAACAGATCTTCCTGCTCCAGCAGAACCTGCCCTGGCCCCCCTCACCTGTGTCCCCTTTTGGGGAAGCCCGCTCGGCACTGGCCCCAGTCGTGGTGGCAGCTCGGGGTTCGTGCTCTGGGGAAGGGGAATGGAGGGATCAGTCAGAAGAGCTGGCACTAAATATAAAACAGGTCTAGAACCAAGCTGGGGACTGGGGCAGGAAGGGAACATGGCTTTGAGGAGACCTGGGTCCACTAGGGGAGGACAGGAAGATGGGCATGGTTTGGGGAAGAGGAAGAAGGCACATGGACCTGGAGGACCTGGGTTTTAAGGGGTGGGAGGTGGTGGTGGTGTCCAGATTGGGAGCTCACCTTGGGCTGGAAGGCCCCCTGCAGGGAGCCAAAGGAGACAGCCGGCGGGAGGCCCGGAGGTAGACCGGGCACTGCAGGAGGGAAGGCCGTGTACGGCTGTGGAGAGAAGGGGACTAGTCCAAGCTGGGGGTGGAGGTATAGCCCATGTCTGGTCTGCCCATCAGTTCTCTGGCCTCCACCCTAAAGCCCCCCAGGGAGACCTCTCAGGCTCAAAGCTCCTGCTTTTCAAGCTGAAGACTGGACCCCAACAGTTAGGGCTACACACACTGATACATCTATGCCCACACACCACACACATGCACTCACATTATGCCGGAAAAGGCCTTCCATCTTTCCTGGGTATTTCTCAAACTAGGGAAGAGAAGGGAAGAGTAAGCTGCTAGCCAGGGACCCAGGGTCTTCCCCTGGAAGCCAGACCCTCCCCCCAAGTCTCAGAGCCTCATCACCGGCCCAATGAGGAGCTCACCATGTGGGGGCCGTGGGGTGGCAGCAGACCCGGGGGATAAGGGGTGAAGTGCTGGTGGGTATGCTGGTGGGTGTGCTGGTGCTGGTGGTTGTGCTGGTGGAACTGGAAGGCCAGGGGCCTGGCTGAGCCCCCTGGCCCCACCACCTCGGGGTAGCGAGAGTTCAGGTCCTGGCCGATCAGGTCCTGCTCTGTGGGAGGGGAGGGGGAGAAGGCTTTAATATTTATTGCCACCATGTCAGCCTCCTTGGGCCCAGGTGACTGGCCTTCCCTTTTGGCCTTGAGCCACTCCCTCCTCAAGCCCTGTAGTCTGCTAAGGTCCAAATGCCCCAAAGCCCACTGGGTTTAAGCCCAGGGCCATGCCCCCCCCCCACCCCCCGCCCGGCCAGGATCCCAAACTCACCAGAAAGGGCGTTAGCGGCTGAGGCCCCAGGGTGCCCTGGCACCTGCAGCAGGGGTGGGGGTGGGGGCAGGGTGGGGCCAGAGGAGAACAAGGAGGGGTGGTGTGGTGGGGGGGGGGGCCGCAGCCCAGGGGGAGGAAAGCCGTGGTTGGACAAAGGCAGGGGCAGTGAGGGCGTCGGGGGCCGGTGGGTGAGCTGCGCGGACGAGGAGGAGGCAGATGAGGAGGAAGAGGACGAAGAGGATGATGAGGGGGGAGGCTGAGCCACGGGAGGGGCCGGGGCCTTGGGGGGCGGCCGTGAAGAGCTGGGGAGAGAAGTGGGGAAATGAGTGAAGGGTTGGGAGGTGCCAGCTCTGACAGGAATGGGTCAGAAGCCTGGGCGACACACCTTGACCTTGGTTCTCCAACATGGAAGGTGGTAGAACCTGGCCCCCAGGACCTCCACCCCCATCCCACAAGGAACCCATCCTCAGACTGAGGTACCTCCCACACCCAACACCCCCTTTCTCCCTCTCTAGGTCTAGTCTTTCATACAGGTGCCTCTGATGTCTTTGGCCACATGACTTTCCCTTTTCTGACTCAACCACAAAACATATCAATCACTTTGAAGCTTAATTACAACAGGTCACTTAGGTTCCTAACCTATGACAGTGGAAGCAGCACTGTGCTGGCCTGGCCTGAGAATTCTAGGCCCATCTTGCCATTAACATCCTGGGTGACCTTGAGCAAGTCACTGCCCCTCTCTGAGCCTTAGTTTTCTCAATAATAAAATAAAAAAAGCAATGATGACAATAATATAGTATCAGTAATTCTTACCCTTTAGTGAGCACTTACTCACTAGTGAGCACTTACTTATGTAGACCAAGTGCTGCCACTTGTTTTACACGCTAATCCAAGTCTCCAACATTTCACACTTGGAGAAACATTTCTCCAACATTTCACATCACCTTCCCAATTGCTGCTGCACCCATATAACTACCTGTACCATTCACTTCTTCCTTTAACACAACATATTTCTTTTTTACTTAGCTTCACCCAAGCCACAACACGTGAAATCAAAGGATTGAGGTACTCCTACTTTTCTAAGGCACGTGAAAACTGAAAAAAATTTACTCCCATAACATCTGAAATTATATCACATATCACTAATGATGAGCATACACACTTTGGGAAACACCGCATTAACTCACAATTAGTCCTCACAACAGCTTTAGGATGAAAGTACCATTATTATATCATTTTGTAGAAAAAGGAAATTGAGGCTCAGAGAGGTTAAGTGACTTCTCAAAAAGCACACTGCCAGTAAGGGGCAGAATCCAGGTCTGACACCAAAGCCAGCACTCTTAATCATCATGACAGCATTTCCCAAAGTATGTTTTGAAGAAGACTAGTTCTAGCAGATATGCCTTGCAAAAATGCCTCAGCAGCAAATAGTACTGGGAAATGGCACAAATTGGATTCCCCTGCATGAAAATATATAAAACGTTCTGTGAGTTTTGCAGTAATCCCTTTAAATTTGTTTCGCCTAGTGTATTCAAACTTTTCAGTCTCAGAACCCTTTTTCGGATTACATCTCAAATGTACCAGCCCATGTCCCAGCCATAGAATGCAAGGGTTAGTCCCAAAATGACCAGCTCTTTCCAGACCAAACCCCTAGACCACTTACCTGCCAGTGCTGAGGTCCAGGCTGCTGCCATAGGGAGAAGTGCGGAGGCCGAAGGGTGAGACCCGAAGCTGCAGCTGGGGTGGGGGTGGCAGACTGGGGGCGGCCGGCAGGGATGCTGGGGCTGAGACAGGAGGCCGAGGGGCTGGTGGAGGTGGTGGTTCCTTCGGGGGGAAAGGCACTAGCAGCGGATCGGGCCCGGGGGGCTGTTCCTGGCTCCGCTCCAGGCCCGACACTTTAGGGACTATGGAGAGTTTTGCTTCACAGTTCCCATTAAAGGCGCCATGAGGGCCCGAGGCTGTGAAGGCAGAAGAGCAGATATATTAAGATCCATGCTCAACCCAATTCCTTCCTTTATCTCCAGCCCCAGCCTTTTGGACCAACCTTTGCTGGTTGAGACAGTAAAGGATGGATCAAGGTCATCATCGGAGACCTAGGGAAGAAGAGTAGGGACAGGGTCAGGTTCTGATTAGGCCAGACCCTTCCCCAGGAAGGCCAACAACCTCTGCAGCCTGCTAGGAACTGGCAGTGGTGGCAAGTCTATTCCATCACCTTAGTTAAAACCCATCAAAGACCGTGTTCTAGGGTTCCTATGCTTGGGCAAAAAGGGAAAAGCAGCTGAGCTTAAGAATCTGATAAGACCAGGAGGCCCAAATCACGTCAGCACTAAAATAGCAGAGAAGCAAGGAGATCAAAGTAAAAATGTCAGATATCACTAAAAAGACCAACAGGCCTACCTGACTTATTTGTCTGGTCCATAAGTGTTACCAAAAAATTATAAACTAATTGCTGATATTTAGAAATCCAGATTCTTTATAAAAACTCAGACTTGCAGCTTCTCTTGAGAATGGGCCCCTAGTCTCACATGGCATCAATGAGCTAGTAACTAGATAGTGGCTGCCCCCTTAAAATGGACAAGAACTCTCTGGTTCACCACAGTCCCCGTCCAACCAACTTTTAAAACTAGAACAAGATACACACCAGGGAATACAAACTTAGGTAATTACAGGGGTACAGCACCAATTGTTAGAACCCATTATTTCAAAATAAACAAATCAGCCTTAATAATAAATTGAAATAAGGCCCTGGCTGGCGTAGCTCAGTGGATTGAGAGCGGGCTGCAAACCAAAGTGTCGCAGGTTCGATTCCCAGTCAGGGTACATGCCTGGGTTGCAGGCCATGACCCCCAGCAACCCCACATTGATGTTTCTCTCTCTCTCTCTCCCTCCCTTCCCTCTCTAGAAATAAATAGATAAAATCTTAAAAAATAATAATAAACTGAAATACATCTTTATAGTGTATGTTCTTATACCAATTTCATTTTTTTAGTATCCTCAGTGCCATGGTCTCTGCTCAGACTCTAACCTGTAAGACTAATGGCCAGCAGGAAGGACCAACTTGGTTCCATAGCCACTCTGAATTTCTGGAGAGAACCACTGGCATTCTAAGAGCTTTAGAAAGGATGACACATCAGGGTAGGAACCTTCTATTCTTTGGTTGACTGGCTCTAGTCACCAAAGAAATCATTTAGTCTCTCAATCCCCCCCTCCCAGAAACCTAATTCTGGCTCAACCTGACCCATGTTTCCCACTCAAGAGGAGACTCTTGTCTGCTGCACACAGGAGCCCCTTAAGCTGCAGTTCATTTTATAAGCTGTAACACTGCCCACCCAACAAGTTCTAGCTCCACTCACCCTCTCGTCGAGATCGCTTTCCGCATCACACTGGGGAGAAGGAAAGACAGAAGTGTCACAAAAGGTAAGGAGTGAGGCCCAGAGATGGAGTACAAGAGGCGGGGCCAGTACAGGTAGAGAGCACTTACTATGTATCCAGCTTCTAGAGAGTGACGGGAGGAGGCCTGAGAAAGATCAGAGTCCAGAGATAAGGGAAGCTGACTGGTGAGGCCTATGGACAATGTCTAAACTCCCCTACAGGGCACTCAAGGCCCCTTGTGACCTACTCTCAATCTCTTTTTAGCTTCTTCTACTATTGCCCACCCTTGTTCCCAATGCTCTGGCCATTTCCCAAATACACCAGACTCTCATATCTCTGTGCTTTGTCCAAAACAACTTTGCCCTGTTTCTTCTCTCAGCAAAACTTACATGACTATTCTTCAAGGCCTGACTAAGATATCCTAGGGGGCTTTCCCTAACCACAACCCTCCTCCCATCCCCCAGGCAGAATGAGTGGCTTCCTCATGTGGGTTTCTGCAGCATCTCTCCCAGACCTCTGCCTTCTTTAGCTTCTCAGGTTTTGGTATAAGTATCTGCTTGTAGACTGTTTCTTCCTTGCTAGACTGCCACCACCTCGAGAGGGAAGGCAATGAATTAGGACATTTAATTAATTTATGATTCAACTAAGTCCCTTTGATATATCTCTGAATTATCAGTATGTTGAGGCTGACTTAGTTCCAGCCAGAAGCAGACAAATCTTACTGTGGACATGTCTTTGTTAGACTTGGATGAATAAGGAGCTCAAATCTGCTCTGCTTTCATATTTGTCCTTAGATCCAGAGTTTTAAAGGACAGGGATCTACGACCAACTCACCTCTTTCCTTCTCCGTTTATTGGGCCATTTTCTGGCACGATCTCCAGAGGGCCGCCCAGGCTCCCGATCAGAGCTGTCCCCTGGCTCCCCAGTGGCCCCAGTGGAGCCCCCCCTCTTCCGCTTCCCAGAATGCTTTAGCCGGTGTTCCAATCGTTCTGGGGGCTGAAGAGAGGCATCCTTCTGTGGAGAAGAAGGAGGTGGGACTAAAGTAGATGGAAAAAGGAAAGCTCCCAACCTTTTTAGGGGTGACCAGGATACCGAAGTAGCTCCCAGGCGGGGTAACCTGGTTGGTCCCTGGAGACTAGCTCTACCTCCTCCCACCCCAGGGCGGGGCAGAGGCCTGGCCAGAGGAGCCGGTTGCTCTGGTTTAGGGTGCCAGCATTCCCCCCACAACTCCACCCACTCCAAGCACCATACCCTTCTCTCTGCCCCTGTGAAGCCCCCCAAAGGTCCTTAGCCCCATCAGACCCCACCTGCAAGGCCTCAAGGCTGGCGAAGCTGGCGATGGCAAAGCCATCGATCAAGTCCTCCTCCTCTTCTTCCTCCTCTTCAAGCTCCTCCTCGGCCTCTCCGTCGTCTGCACCCCCCTCCTCCTCCTCCTCTTCCTCTCCGCGACTACCGGAGCCGGCAGGGCGCTTCCGAGCTCGGGGTCGCGGTGGCCGAGGCCTGGGACGGGGCCGCCGCCGTCTCGGGCCTCCAGGCCGCTCTCCAGACGAAGCTGACGACCAGGGCCTGGCGGGCGGCGGCGGCGACGATGAGGACGAGGATCCTCGCGGGGCGGCCAGCAGGGCCCGGGGTGCGTCGCCGCCAGGACCTCGGCGGCGCCGCTGCTCCCGGTCTCGGTCTCGGCGCGAGCAGCGCCGCCGCCGCCGCTCTCCCTCAACTGCCCAGCCCGGGCCGGGAGCCGCGGCCGTCTCCATGGCGACCGCCCTCAGTGCCGCATCCGGAGGCGGCGGGGCCCGAAGCGGCCTGTCCGCAGGCCCGGGGTCGCAGGCGCGGCGTTGGCGGCTGCACAGGGACGAGAAGGCCACGCTTCCTCTTTAAAGTAGATTCTGCTGGCCCTGAGCTTGCCCCAAGGCCAAGGTCTGGGGAGCCGGCGCCGCCCCCGGGGCGACAAGCCGGAGGGTCACCCCCCCTCCCGTGGGGCCGGAGGGGACGAGACGGCGAAAAAGGGGCGGCCGTCCCTTTAAGGCGAAACCTCAAGTTGTCCAGCCCCTGGCCCCTTTAAGACAACTCGACGGTGTCCGGCCGGCCTAGTGCGGTGGCCGCCCCCTGCCAGGGGTCGAGACTAGACTCCCCGAAGAAGAGGAAGGACCACCCCCTTTAAAAGGGACCGAAAGCTCGCCCCGAAACGCAAACCTTCCCTTTAAAAGTGTCTCAAGTCCTCCGGCTAAAAGAGGCCACCCCTTTAAGGAGTCCAGGGTCCTCAAAACAGCAGGCCGCCGCTTTACAGGGTCGTAGTTTGTTTCCAGTACTCCACAAGCGGCCACTTCCCCTTTAAGCTGAATTTAAAGGACTTCTGGAGTGGGGGGAAGAGGTAAGAATCCTCACTGGCTCCAGTTCTCCCCACAGCACAGTTTTCAATTTGTCAGCTTCAGTTCGGCGACTTCCCCTTTAAGGCTGGAGTTGTAGTCTGCCGAGCCCAGTGGCCACCCCTTTAAGGAGATTTAAAGGGGCCTCCGCCAGTCCCAGCTCTTCCAGCCTCCGCCTCCGGTCGCCATGAAAGGCTCGAGGTGGGGGCGGGACCGCGACGGCCAGCCCTCCAAAGCCCCGGATGTGAGGCAACGGTGACGGGTAGAGTTTCTCTGTCAGCCGACATAAACGTCTCTTCCTCCTTTCCTCGTCTCTGTGTGACTCGCTCTTGAAGAGATCCAAAAGACGGCCGTTGGTCAGCAGGGGAGCTCCAGCGCACCCTCTTCTCTCCTTTGGAGTCTTGGGCCTCTTCTCCGCTTAGACTTCCCTGCCCCTCCTCCCTCTTCCTCCTCTGCCTACGCCTCCTTCCTCTCTCGGCCTCCTCCCACTCTTTGCCCCTTTCCCCCGCACCCCTCCACAGGTTTAGTCGTTGATAGGTAGAAAAGTGTACGTCAGGGTGGAGGGCGGAGTCAAAGTGCGGGAGTGGGTAATTTGTAACCGCCCTCAAATTCTGGATTGGGTATACGTCAGATTAGCTCCGTCCTTCATCAGGTCTCGTGACTTCACTGGTTAGAAGTAGGTGTTTGGGCGGTTCTACAAGTGACTCCGCCTTTTCCTGTTCTTCGGCCATTGGTCCACATTCTGACGGCATCAAACCGAGCAGCCGGGATGTGGTGCGCGAGTCGTGGGGAGCGGTTGACCGCTGGGCGGCGCGCAGCTGCGGAAGGTACCTGTCGACCTCCAGTTACGTCGTCTTTGCCTTTCCGCCGCCTGGCTTCCCTCACGCGCTTGTCAATACCGTCGCCTGGCAAGCAGCTAGGCAGGATCAGCTCCATGGAGTGGGGTGACCAGGACACGCGGCGCCCCTGGCGACCGCCAGACGCGCGGGGAGGAAGCCGCGTCGCATTTTCTTTCGGTTTAATGGGAAAGTGCTGGCCTGTGATATCTCCGTGCTAACAGAAAAAGGACCTTGCTCTTGCATGCCAGGCACTTTCTCACATATTAACTCATTGAGCAGTAAGGATTATTTTAGGAAAGTATTGCTGTTAGCCCCATTTTACAGAGGGAGAAGGGATCGATGCACAAACATTTAGTTTGCTAATCAGGATTTGGGCTTGACCTACCTCTAGTCTGTGCTGTTAGCCACTGCTGTATTTTGCTTCCACGTTATGAAAGCTGTAGAGTGCCACTTCGGACCTGTTTGACTGGGTTATCCTTTTAATATTGACATCACAATGATACACTCAGTGTGCTTTCCAATGTTTATATGGATATAATCCCCTCTCACTGGGTTATGTGCAAATCAAGTACCATGACAATTTTTTGTAGGTGCCCAATTATAGTTGATTACTCTTAGCTCTTGAATCCAGCAGCAGGTGCTGTACTGCATGATAGGAAGAGTTCAGGGCCATCTTGATCATGGCCTTGGTCCACTCTGGGACTTTCAGTCTCCTCTTTGTTGTAAATGAATTGGGAGAACCCTGATTAGGGTCTAGGATCACAGTATCTTCTGGAACAGATTCAGAAGTACCCCTCCACACAGGAAAAATCCTCAGTTATCTCCAATGACCATTTCCTGATTCCCTTCCTGCTATTTAACCCTCATTGCCTTCCCTAACACTTCCCCCATTTCCCAGTTTTTGAGTGCCAAAGTAGAAACATCAGCCAATACTGCCAATCAATCTCCAGCTCAGCTAGGAACATACAAAAGAATCAGAAGTATATTGAAAACTTTACTAGAAATATAGAGAAAAAAATGAAATGGCCTCAAAGGCTTCTCCCTCCCAGATGGATGTACAGATAAACAGATGGAGCTCCTAGGTCTGATGGGGCGGCTCCCTAATCCACTTCCTCCTCTTCCAGGAGCAAGGCATCCAGCTCCTCCAGCCGCTGCTGCAGCAGGGGTCCCACATCTGGGCTGGGGGCCACGTTAGGAGTAAGGGTCCTGCCAGCTGCAGCCCGGACCCCACGAGATGGCCTCCGGGATCGAGGAAGGCTGCTGTCCCGAAATTCCACAGCCCGCCGCAGCTTCCTTGAGCTGGTAAAAATCAGAGTCCCATTGCGCTCCCTTGGTTCCTCAAAGATGGTCTCAAAGGTCCTGGACAAGGCAGGGAGGGGGACTGGTTACCAGCATGCCCTCCTGGTTCTAGCCTTCCCCCTTATCAACCCCAAACCTTTAAAGCTTCTCACCTCCTGGTTGTAGGTGATTGATAATTCTTGTTGGTGTAAATTTCTTCCAAGCTGAACTCTTTCTTGTTCAACCTGGGAGCAAAGAGCAAAAACCACTAAAAAACCTGGAACCAGTGAGGTCTGGAGAAGTGATAAGCAAGGCCTAGTCTGCATTTCAGTTTCTGGGACATGCCAGGTGCCAGGAGTACTGCCTGAGACAGACAGATGGTTCTAAGCACAAACCACATTCAGACCAAATTGTACTGGGCTCCCTGAGAGGAGACAAAATCACACTTCAGAGAATGTGAATCTATATCTGTTTGGCCAGGGCAGCTCCATACACAATAAGCATTCACCTGATTGGTCGAGGCAGCCCCATTGGTGTAAGGTTTAGTTGAGGACGGGCCACTGTCCTGCGTATTCTAAATCGAGAAACCTTTCCCATGGTCTGCAAAAATGGGGCAGAAGGTAAGAAGGCAGCATGGGAACAGGCTCCCACTAATCTCCTCCCCTTCATCTGTATGCCTACCTTGGTCTCAGGGTCTGACAGCACTTGGTCCTGTGAGACCTGTGGCTCCTTTCCCTTGGTTGAGCCCAACCTACAGAGAATGTAAAGGTTCAGGGTCAGACAACATTCACAGTAGTATCCCCAATTCCTGCCCATTGCATACTAGGGAAGGAGGCTAGGCCTGGACTGTGGCCAAGGATTTAAGGGTTTATTGAGAGCACTACCTGGGTTTTGCAGGTTCAGAGAAGGAGGAGGAAGTGGATGCAGTGGACGAACAAGATGTGATGAGGGGAGGAGAGCTTCCCACTCCTCCAAGAGGGAAGACCTCTTTCCGGAGACAGGGTCGAGGGGGTGGTGGTGGCGGGGCTCGAGCCATCTCTCCACTACCCACAGTATGCCGCCGAGGCCGTGGCCGGCTTGGGTGGTGTGAAGAAGGGGGCCAGCTGCAGGTATCTGAGCCAGGAGGCCCCAGGTCAGGGCAGGAGTGGCTTCGGCCCAGAGGTGGCTTAGGGAGAGGTACTGGGGTATGATGGTCTTGAGCTCGCCACTGTCGGATAGGAGGGCGGGGACTGACGGATGCAGTACCCTCAGCAGCCCTGGACTGCTCAGCCTCTGAGATGGCAATCTTCAACTCCAACTTCATGGGGGGTGATGGGGGTGGGGGCTGTGGGGCTTTGTTGGGTGTGAGGAAGATGTCAGCAAAGCTCTCCAGCTTGGAACGAACAGAACGGAAGAGGGGTGCCAAGCCCCAGGGGCTGAGGCGGGGGCGTAAAAGGCTGGATGGCGGTGGGGTCGATGGGGCTTCCAGAACAGGATCTGGGGCTGAGGAAAGGAGAGGGTCACAGGTGGGCATTCCTTAGCTATAGGTGGCTAAGCCCCACTTCAGTAGCCTCAGTCCCTCCCCAAACACTAAATTGCCCAGAGGAAGCCCATTCCTAAATAAAACTAAGCCCCAAATTTAGGAGTTGGACATCAGGCCTCTGAAGTTGAAATCCCATCTTCACATACCAAGCTTTGCCCTGGGAAGGGGGTTAATCCCCATCCTCACCTCTGCATCTCACACTTCTAAGCTCAGCTAGGATTTTCCAGAGCTCCAAATCTCATCCCTCTATCTCAGTCCTTACCTGGTGATGAGTTCTCCAGAGGGTCTGCAGACAGGACAGATGCCTGGAATGGGGCTTCCAGGTCCTTGGACGGAGGCATTGTCTGGTGAACCATCATCATGGATTCAGCTCTGGGGTGAAGGGGCAAGGTAAAAGCTGGGGAAGCTTCCAGATCCAGATCCCACCTGAGTCAGCTCCTCCACTGTCCCTTAAGGCTACTGAGGGTGCTATATGGAACTACTGAACAAGAAAATTCTAATGCCCGTAGCTCTGGATGAGTGGACAATGGTTGTTGTCTGGACATCTTGGTAATTCCTTCCCCAGCCCTCTCACCTTCTTGCTGGGATGATGAAGTTGGGAGTCTCATCCGTGAAGCCCTGGATACAAACGGGATGTTTGTGAACAGGTAGGGAAGCCCCCTATGGCCTCCTTAGCTTCCCACATCCCAAATCTCTTGTCTCCAGGTACCTGCCTGGGTTCACACCAAAAACTTTTTCATATAGGTCTCTGTTCAAGCAGTGTCTTCCACCTAAAATGCTGTCCTATTTAAGCAAAATCTACCACAGACTCAACTCACCTACACTTGTTGTCTATCCACACTGGAGTGCCTGCCCCCAGATACACCCCTCATATCCTTACTAGAAGTTCCCATACCTCAGCTGGGGGTCTTGGACTGGCAACATCTTCTAGCATCACCACCAGCGTGGGCTGGGGGGCCCGGTCCACCTCTTGTGACGGGCCTTCCTCTGGGCCAGGGGTTGTCCTTGATCGATGCCTCAGGGTGGAAGAAGACTGGTGAATGCGGCTCAAGGGCTCTCGGCATAAGTGCAGTGGGTAGTGAGGCCTAGAGAGGGAACACAAAAATCAGAGGGGCTCAGCTGTGTCCCCAGCTTAACCCTCATTCTGTCTTGCTCACCTGGCCTGTGATGACCACATGGCCTGTCGGGGTGGTGAGGCAGGCAGCTGGTTTTGGACAGAATCCCAACGGTTGCTGCGGTGCCGTGGAGTAGAGGTCTCCTCTTGAGGCACCAGGGGGACCTAGGAGAAGTATTAAGAACAAGGTGATAGAATGAGGTTGGAGTGGATAGGGCTTCCTTGTGCCTAACTGTGCCCTATGCCAAAAAGATGACAGAGTTTGTGGCTTGAATTCCCTCAACACCTCCAAAGAAGCGAGTCATCCTGAATTGGGGGCCACATAGTATTCTAAGCTACTGGTGTGGGACTTGGGGTAATCTCACCCAGGCTCTTTGAAGAAATGAAAAAAAAAAAAAAAAAAAAGAGTGGCTTTGGGTTAGTTACTGCTGTGTTTGGGGCCTCCGTTTTTCACTGTACAATGGAGCCAGTGATATGAGCTTGCACCTTAAGGATTGCCTAAAAGTTGGGCTGGGAAGAAAGCAGAAGGGTTTCTTGTACTTAAAGAATTGTAGGGATGTGGTTCCAGTCCAGCAGTGTTGGCTGTGGTGAATGGGCACTAGAGACCCTGCCCAATTTGAAGCTGAAGTTAGAGAGCCAGGCAGAACTCTAGTATTAGTAAGGCTGCTTGAGTGGTGTGTGAGAGAGAATGAGGTGTTTGGACCTCAATTATCCTCACTAGTGATCTGGCCTGATTGGTACTGAGAAGGGACCTGTGAAAGAAGAGAGCTTCTTTAGTTCAGGGGGCTCACCATATGGGCAGCCATGACATCTTCCAGTACCACGGCCAGGACCCTCCGAGAGGCCTTTTCCAAGGGTGAAGGGGCCACTGGGGGCTGCAGCCTCGGCCGTTTCGGGCTTCTGGCTCCCCATGATGCTCGACTCAAAGGCTGGCGGCACAGACGTGGCTGGCCAGGTGGGCTGCAGGATGAAAGCAGAAGACGGTCTCCTGAGCCTGTGGTTGGCTTTGTCATTTCCCCAGTACAGTCGCCAGGCTCCCCGCTTCCCGAGCTCAACACAGGCTGGCGGGGTGCGCTCTCACCTGGATTCCCCCGGCAAGTCCATTGGGGAAGCGGTGGCTCCGGGGAGTCCCTGGGGGATCCCAGGCTGCAGCCTGGGGTGGGAGGTGGGGAGTGGGGGAGTGGGGAGTGAGGGCCAGCCCTTTCCCTGGGGCTCCGCCCTTCATGGTAGCCCGCAGCTCCCGGTAGCCCAAGGGCCTGAGAACTGGGGTGCAAAAGGGCGCCCCCGGTCGGCCGTCCGGAGCGGGCCTTTTCCCGCTGCTGCTGCCGCCGCTGCCGCCGCCGCGATCAAAGGATCACTTGCGCCAGACTTGGCACTTGCCGCGAGAACCTGGATTGCAGCGGCCCCGGTTCTCCCACGGCCCGGGACTCCTGGGGCCTTTGTCCCTGTAGATTCCACCCTGAGAAGCCCCCCGGGATCAGCTGGGATCCCGGTCCTGGGAGGCTCGGTTTCCGCCTGATCCCGCTGCGATCCCCATCCACTCCCAGTGAGTGGCCAAGGACTCCGAAGCAATACACCCACACACCGACGTTTCTCCCTCCCACCAGATCCCCTAAACTGGATCCAAGCGGAAAGAATCCTACAGTGCGTTTCCTCCAATCAGACGCCGCGAGAGGATCCTCCTCTCCCTGTAAGCTTCGACTCTGCAAAGCTTCACTCAAGGGCGGCCCGCGCTTGAGCATCACAAACTCAGTCAGGATCCCCGGGGATCCACTGTCCAGCAGATACCCCCTCCACTCCAATCCTGGAAGGTCCCGCCCACAGACCCCCTCCCTCCACCCTCTCCTTATCCCCGCCCAGCGCTCTCCCCAGCCCGGGTCCAGAAGGCTCAAATGTTTCCTTCTTCCCTCCCTCCTCCCGCCCTTTCTCCAGCCGCTCGGTGCCCTCCCCCGCGCACTGCTCACCGCCGCCTCCCGCCGATCTCGGGTCTTCGACGGCTCCCACCTGCGGCTCCTTTAAAATCAGCCTTACCCTGCGCTGTCCAACCGCGGAAGGCCTTCTTCTCGGAGCCTCCAGGTAGTATCCAATCGCCGGTCCGCGTCTTCCTGTGTGGTGAGAAAATAAGTGAAGCCACCTGGCAGCCATCATCCCTAGGGGCATGCAGCCAAATTGGACAGCACTGCCATTGTGGTTGAGGGCAGATATTGCTGTCCTCAAGGAACCAAAGCGAAGCGGGTAGCGTCACCTTCGGCTGTTCAGGCAGTGGCGGAAGACTACGCCAAGTTTCTTGATATAGTGGGACAACAGTAGTGAAGCTGGAGTGCCGCCACGTTTTTTAAGGGCATCTTCCGGTTCCTTCGATTTTTTTTTTTTTTTTTAGGCCAATCATTGTGAACTGAGTGCTAACGATATGTGAAATTCCCAATTTCCTAGAGAGGCCTCATCGAGGCCGGTTTCGGTACCGCCCTGGGTACCTCAGCTGGTTCCCACCTCACAGGCAAGAGTTTCAGGGTGGGTGGCCACTGCCAGAGACTAGACAGTAGGTACCCTTTTTGGCTCCGCTGTGCGCGCGCGGTGTCCTGTAGAGACTGAGCCGAGCCAGAGGGGAAGAGACTGGGGGCGTTGGGCTTCAAGAGGTGTTGTGCACCTCATCCAGGAGAAGTAGGGGTTTCTGCGTACCTTGCATACATCTAAGTAGAGGAACGTCCTTGCAGGAGACCAATAACCAATTTGTCGTGCTCGGTGGGGTCCAGCCTCTTTCCTTTCGGCTCCAGTCTCCCACGAACCCTTTTTCAAAAGGGGCATGGCTGATGGGGCGTGTAAATAGTCCTAGTAGTAAGGGATCAGGGATGTAATCCCGCTGCCTTGAGAGGCTGCATTATGGAACCTTTATCAGCAGCCAGGCTGTTGGTGGGGAGGAAGTGGGTAAGTCCTGCCTTTTTGCATTGTGAAGACGCTCTCCCCTCCTAACCAGAGCCTGTTCCTCCACTAGTTCTTCCCTGGTCCAAACCAGTACATTTTTTTTTTCTTTCTTCTTTTTAGAGAGAGAGAGAGGAGAGAGAGAAATCACTTTGTTGTTGTTGTTGCTGTTGTTCCACTTAGTTATGCATTCATTGGTTGCTTCTTGTGTGTGCCCTGACTAGACATAGAACCCACAATCTTGGCATATCTGGACAATGCTCTAACCAATTGAGCAGCCCAGCCAGGGCCAGTACATGTTTTCTTGATATGAGAGCCTGAAGCCTAGAATTCTTGGCCTTAGATGAAGGTGCATATGCAGCCCAGCATACTTCTTCTTATGGAATTAAATGATAGAAGTAATGACAGAAAAGATTTGGAAAGAGCAGATTCAGTAAGAGTTGGTGTGGGAAATGAAAACTCCCCAACTTCATGATCAAGGACTCATCCAGATAGCTCTCAGCTCTCCCAGGACTATGGCAACTCTGTATTGGCCTGCTGGGTTCTCTGGAATTTCATGATGAGGTCTCTGGTGGAAGTAGGCAGCATTTCTTTCAGCTACAGGTATTCTCTCCCTCTGGATCAGGACTGGCTACATAGTGCCTGAGGATGTTCCTTGCGGGTATGGTAGTGTTTGGAGATCCTTCTCAACCTTCATGAGTGAAGAGGTCCCCCTGTAGACTCATTAATTGCTTAAACATACAGGTGCTTCCTAGGCCCAAGAAAAGCTGCCAGATCTGAGTTTTAATTCTCTAGGTGTCTTGAAGAACTCAACACCAAGGGCAAAGGAAGTAGTCTTCCTTAAAGAAAGGGCCTGAAACTGAGAAATAAGGTAGGGAGGGCCCAGCCCTATAACCCTAACCTGGGCACTAGAGTTCATCAAATTGAAGTCTAAAGCAGAATCTGGTGTCTTGGCCCCCAGCCCAGGCTAACAACTGTGAGCCTTCATAGCTTCAAGGTCTTACATCTGCCCTCATTGTGACTACCATTTCAATAACCCCTAACTTACCCACCACCTGTGTTCACACTCTAAGGTGCGGCCGGAGGCCCCACACAGCCTCCAGTAAGGCAGGTAATGTGCCTGGAGATTAGCTGTTAGGGCACATCAGTGTATTGTTCTAAAGGGACCCTGGGCCCTTTTAGATTCTGCATCTCCCACCTGCTTAACTGTTCCCTGGCTTCAGTAAAATGAGAACAATAAACCCTGCCATGCCTATATCAAAATAGACTTGGAAAATCAAGATAAATGAGAAATCACATCTAAATGTGCCTGATAAATAAGTTAAGTCTCAGGCTACATGTAAAAAGAGGATGATAAAAACTGCTTCTTCTTCCTCTTGGAGAGTTGTGTCTTCTTCTGGTCCCCAAGCCAGCTGCTCTTCTCAGTACCTTTCTCTGGAAGCCTGTAGCCTGAGCTCCAGATCAGCCAGGTAGGTTGGATTAGGATGTGGCTTTAGGGCCTTGAGATGAGTTTGGGTTGCTGCTCTGGTTTGCATCAACAAAATTTGTGGCTCTTGTATGCTATGTCCTGTGGATACACAGGTGCCATAAGAGTTTGGAGTTTCTGTCCCTATATGCAAAAGTGCTACCCAGACTGGGAGGCTCAGTTGGTTGGAGCATCATCCCATGTACCAAAAGGTTGTGGGTACAATCCCTGGTCAGGGCACATACCCAGGTTTCAGGTTCAGTCCCTGGTTGGGGCGCATATGGGAAGCAACTAATCGATGTTTCTCACACACATTGATGTTTCTCCTTTTCTTTCTAAAATTAATAAACACATATCCTTGGGGGGTATTATACACATATATAAACATGTATAAGTATATATGTATATTTAGGGCTTTTTTCCAATATTTTGTTTTCAGAGACAGAGTAGTGAGGGAGAGGGAGAGAAACATCAATGTGTGGTTGTCTTGTGCACCCCCAAATGGGGACCTGGCCCACAACCCAGGTGTGTGCCCCGACTGGGAATTGAACTGGCAACCTTTTGGTTCTCAGGTCAGCACTCAGTCCACTGACCCACACCAGCCAGGGCAAAGTATCTTCATTTTTTAAATTCTTTTTTCTTTCCACTGTTCTGATTGGGTGTTTTCTGTTACCATGTCTTCCAAATCGGTGATTTGATCCTGTCGTTCATCTAATCATATGTTGTTTCCTTCTAGTGTATTCTTCATTTATTTTTTTTTTTTTACTTCCAACTGGTTCTTTTTATGGTTTCCATGTCCTTTTTTGTGTGTTTTCTATCTCGTTGTTGAAGTTCTCACTGAGTTCATCTATTCTTCCTCTAAGTTCATTTAACATTCTTTAACCAGTGTTTTGAAATCTGCTTCTGGGAGATTGCCCATTTCCCTTTTGTTTAGTTCTTTTTCTGGAATGTTGTCATGTTACTTTAATTTGGGACATGTTTCTTTGTCTCATTTTGGCTGCATCTTTGTGTTCGTTTCTATATATTAGGTAGATCTGCCATATCTCTCAATCTTGGCAGGGTGGTCTTATACAGGTGTCCTATAGGGCACAGGGACACAGTCGCCCCTGGTCACCTGAGCTGGTGTTCCAGAGGTGTCCCTGTGTGGGTTGCGTGCACCCTCCTGTTGTTGAACCTTGATTGCTGTTGGGGCATCAGTGGATAGAGTCGACCCTCAGACTGACTGACTGTGGGGACTAGCCATGACCACCCCAGACAAACTGCTGTGTAGGTGCTGACCTAGCAGAGTGGGATTTGCCCCAGTGGGCTCTGATGCCTTTTGAGATCAACTTTTGAGTATACCATTTATGGAGCTAATCTGGAGGTGCTCTGTTATGGCCTGAAGGTGGCCACCAGGCATGTTGGTTCTGAGGCCCACTGGGAGGGACTCCATTGCAGGCCAAGGTCAGCTGCTCCTTGTGCCCACCCTGGGCCACCTAGTAGGAGCTACAAAAGTATCTGCAGTTGGTAGCTGACTGTGTTAGGCCCAGAGGCATGTGGGAGAGGCCATGCTGCAAACCAAAGCCAGCTGACACCAGTGCCAGGCCTGGAGCTGCACAGTAAGAGGCACAGGGCACGTCAAGGCCTGCTCTCGCTTTCCTGGGTCCTGATCTTTGAGAGTTTTTAGGAAATTCCAGCATGAGCCAAGGCCAGCTGCCTGTGTGGAAAGGTGCTGAGAGATCCTTAGACAGTATGTGAGTTGGGTGTTCCAGGGTCACAGGAAGACACCAGGGTTGGGTAAGTGGTACTTACCACATTAATGCAGGTTCAGATTTGGTGCTTGCCTGCACCTGCACACACAAGCTGTGTGGGAGGAGGACTATACACAGGAACAATGGCAGGTGACCCTTCAGCCCTATCCCTGAAGCCACACAATTCAGTTTCTCCCCATATGTCCCTCATGCCTTTTAAGCTGCTGTTTTTCATTGAATAGGACTGCCTGGTGGAAGAAAATGGCAGTGTTTTAGTGAGGAGGTTAGCAGGATTTGGAGAGAATTGTCACAGTGGAATAGAGTCAGAAGCATTGTTGGAATGTGTTTGCAGTGAGCAGGGGCACACATTTACGTCCTAGGTGGGGCAGGCAATGAAAAAAACAGATACAGTCTAGTAGCCAGTGACAGAAAAGCAACAAAGCACACCTGGAACAACTAAGTCAAGGCAGAGAGAAGGACTCAAGAGAGAGTGAGGATGCAGGAGAAATGAGAGAGCAGTTATACACTCCACTGCATTCTCCAGCCTTAGAGAGTCTTGGAAAGGACAAAGTATCAATCATCCTTCCATCTTGAGAAGGAAGTTTGCTGAAGGAATGAAGGGAGGAATGCTTTTTTTATTATTATTATTTTATTGATTTTTTAATGATTTTTTTAGAGAGAGAAAAAAATGGAGAGTTCTGTTGTTCCACTTATTTATGCATTCATTGATTGAATCTTGTATGTGCCCTGACCAGGGATTAAACACACAACCCTGGTGTATTGGGACAATGTTATAACCAGCTGAGCTACCTATCCAGGGCAAGGAGCAGAGCTTTAACAAATAAAGTAGGAGGAAACCATGAAGTGGAATCTGGGACCCAACCCTTGGTTTCCCTGGACTAATTTCAAGAGAGTGGTTTACTAGGTTGAAATCTGTTAAGAATTTTCTCAGACCGTGTCATTCCTTTAGAACACAGTAGACCACAGAAGTTTCTGGAAGGAACCATCCTGAGACAAAACCCCTGTTTACTCTCCAGTCGATGAACTAAAGCAAAACCCTAAAAAGTAAAAAATAAAAAAATAAAACAAAACCCTTATTCTTATCCCCAGGTTCTCCTCTTTCAAATCTTAAAACTGTGTATTTCCTTTGCTCATGAGTACTTAGTACCTCCCTGCAGCCTGCAGTGTGAAGATCAAAATGCTAGTTCAATTCTTAGGGAAACATGTATGAATGCCTACCATATGCTACATGTATTTGTTTCCTAGGGGTACCATAACAAAGCACAATAAACTGGGTGACTTAAAACAACAGACATTTATTCTCTTAAAGTTCTGGAAGCTGGAAGTTCAAAATCAAGGTGTCAGTATGGCCATGTTCCCTCTGAACCCTGAATAGAATCCTTCCTTTCCTCTTACTAGCTTTCAGTAGTAGCCAACAGTCCTCGGCATTCTTTGGCTGCATCATTCTGATCCTGCCTCTGCAGTCATGGTGTCTCCTTATGTCTGCTTTGTGTGTCTGCTTTCCTTTCTTACAAGGACACCAGTCATATTAGATTTGGGCCCACTCTAATCGAGTGTGGTCTTGTCTTAATTCGAGTACATCTATATACAAAGATTCTATTTCCAAATAAGGTCACA